TGATGCTTGCTCTGACGCTTCAAACTGTACTTTTTGCCATTGAGTTTGCCCCGTAATTCTTTTTGTCCTTGGTGATAGCCTGTCACGCTGTGCCAGGTAAAAGAAAGWGCTGTTCAATAGGCGTTTGGTCACGTGCTGGTCGTGTGGTGGTGGGGTGAGGGGCGTAGGATGCAGTCTTGCAGTGCGCTGGTGCTTCTGCACGGTGAACGTCACATGTGATTTCCACTTTCTCCACTCCACCCCCTCTGGTGGGACAGGGTGGATGGAGATGGCTGGAGTTGGCAGGGTCCTTTTCTTCAGGTCCACTGGGCCTGAAGGAACCCCAAAACCCCAGTAGTAAGCTCTGGTGACCTAGTTTCACCTCCAGCAACAGAATGCTCGGCCTTATTTTGCAATGGCTCCCTTTCCCCTCCCACTGCCCAAAGCACGTGAGRGTCTCTCTGCAGCCTTCACTGCAGGGACCTGGTAGAGCTCCAGGCTGAAACTCACAGAGCTGTGGGACCTAACGTAAGTCCCCTGGAGTTGTCTCCCACAGGAGCCCCGCAGCATGTCAGTTGCACTCTGCATCTTCCCACTGGCTCCCTCGGAGGTTTCCACCCTGATCAGTTATAACCCTCTCGGCTCGCCGGCCCCCCACCTTGGGAGACAGCAGTTTGCCCTGGTCTCTGATAGATCCAGGAACAGTTGTTGGTGTTTTAGTTCCTTCCGCTTTTTACTCTGTGAGATGCAGCAGCAGCAGCTTCCAGGCTTCTTAGCTGTCAGACCAGAAACTGGAAACGCCTGTTTTAACAAAAAAAGAAACTTCCAAAAGCCATTAAGACAATCCAAATACCCACCAACTGGTGGGTGGATAAATAAAATGTGGTACATCCTTCTAAAGTAGGAATATTTAGCAATAAACAGGAATGAAGTGCAGATACACACTGCAGTATTGATGAACCTCAGACAACCGAGTGCACGGAGCCAACCGCAAAGGAACACGCGATTCCGTGTATATGAAATGTTAGGAAAAGACAAGTCTCTGGTGATGGAAAGTAAATCAGTGGTTTCCTGGGGCTGGAAGTGAAAATCATGGGTGACCAAAATTGTCCCATGGGGTCATATTAGGTGATGGGGAAATCAGAAAACTGGACGGTGGTGATGGTCGTGTGACTCGCTCACTTACTAAACATTGCCGTAGACTGAAAGCAGGTGAATCTTGTGGAAAGTAAATACAGCCTCAGTAAAGTTGAATGTTTCTTAAATATTTATTTTTTAGTTATAGGTGGACACAATGTCTTTATTTTACTTTATGCGGTGCTGAGGATCAAACCCAGTGACTCACGCATGCTAGGCCCGTGCTCTACCTCTGAGCCACAGCCCCAGTCCGATAAAGTTGAATTTTTTAAAAGAATAAAGTTTTATTAGAAGATAAAGAAAAACATGAAAACAGAATAAGCCATGTCTCCTTTGATTCTCATGTTAATGATTTAACCMCCCCCCCCCCCACCATTCTCCTCCTGTCTCCTAAGTTTCTTGCAAACACCTTCCTTSTTCATTTAAAATACATCATGGAGAGTTTCCATATCATTACTTTTTTTTTTTTTTGATACCTAGGATTGGACCCAGGGGTATTTAACCACTGAGCCACATCCCCACTCCTTTTTATTTTTTATTTAGAAACAGGGTCTTGCTAAGTTRCTCAGGGCCTTGCTAAGTTGCTGAGGCTGGCTTTGAACTTGCCATCCTCCTGCCTCAGCCTCCCRAGCCTCTGGAATTACTGGTGTGTGCCACCACACCTAGCATATCATTACATTTTTTCCCATTATATAGATATACTCCTGCTGATTTACTGCTTCTCTTATTGGACAATTCTAGACCTCCTTCCCCATACATGACCCATGTGCCTATTTGTGCAATGAATTTCTAGAAATCAAAGTATTGAGTCAAAGACATGARCATATTTAATGCTTTAATAAATTTCTAATGGCTACAGGAAAGGCAGGTGGACTGGTTTCCCCATCCACCAAGAGTTAAGCAAGTAGCCATTTCCAAACACCCTACCAAAGTGAGGCAGCATGGTTTGTTTCATATCTTAATCAATTAGAGGAACAAAAAAATAGTATCTCACTGTGGGATTTAAATTGAGTTTATTTAATCATCTCCAGTGGTTAATCGCTTATTCATATTTTTATTGTTTTGCAACACTTCCTATTTGAACATTTTTTTTCATTTTTCATTTTGTGTTTTTATGTTTTTTGTTGAGTTGAAGT